TGTCGGGGTGGTTATGGCTGGGATTGGGGACGAGACTATGGCAGGAGTGGTTCATTCTCGGATAGACATAGTAGGGCTTCCTCTGATAGGGAGGGTGATGAAGGTTCTGTTTCTGGACACCATGAGGAGCAGAAGCTCAGTAAAGATGCTGGTAATAATGCATTGCAACAAAACTCCAGTCCAAGCGAGTTGAGGCCCAAGAGTGAGGATGCAGTGGATTCGGAATCTAAATTGAACAAGGGCCGATACCCAGATGATGATATGAGTTCAAAACCAAGTTCTTCTGGAGCTTGGAAAGATGGTCCAAATGAAACTGATGAAGTTGGTGAGGAACCTGCCAAGGTATCGGATAAAGAGATGAAGGATCAAGATTGTGCCAACAATGAGGAAATTGAGAAACAAAGTGTTTCGGAGAACTTACTGATGCAGCTTGGTGCTGCAGAAGCTGAGGGTGAGGGTGATTCCTCAGGCAAGAATGGGACTGACTTGCTAACACTCTGCAAATTTGCCAAGGTGCCCACTAGAATCCGCTCATCATTGACGCATAGGGGTCCAAAGGTTGATGATCCACTTCCAAATACCCAAGAGGGGACCACCTCTGACGCTGGCGTCGAACACAAAGAATGTCAAGCTTTAGTTAAAAACGGTTCCGTTGATGTTTCTTTAGGTACCACACTATTAGATAAAACTCATTATGATAATTGTCTCAACCCTGAAACCTCTAAAGCTCAGTCCAGTCATTCTGCTGAAAATTTGGTAGAATCAGGTCCTGAATATGGTAGTATTGAGCAGAACAGATATGCAAGGTCCCAGTCTTTGCCAGGTAGAGCTTTTGTAAATGTGCAAGAATCAACTCAGGGACCTGTAGGGCTTAGGAGTTCCAGCTTTGTAGTTAAGGAAAGGGGTGAAAAAAGGGTTTTGGAAGAACATGATCAGCTGGAGGAAGCCAAAAAACCAAGACAATGGCTTCCTTACATGGTTACAGAGGCAGATGATTGTTTCGAGCTTTCAAACTTGACTGAAAAGAAAGTAAATTCACTGGAAGAAAACGATTCTGGTGAGAGATTGATTATAGCTCTTGATCAGGAGAGCTCGGTGATGAATGAATCCCAATCCCAAAAAGATGGAGGTGAAGCCTGCATCGAGTTTGTGCAAGAAAAGAAGCCGTTTCAGAATTCATTCAAGATCTGCGACCTTAATCTCATGCAGGTTTGTGATGCACATGAGAATCGTGATACTGATCCTATAATAGATTATCGGGCTAATTCTGGAATGAAGAAAAAAGTAGCTCCTGTTGATGTTGACTTATCAATGAATAACTCCAATGTGTCTGGTGAGAACAGTAGACACACTGTCGATGTTAAAGAGATTGAAGTCATTGATTTAGAAAATGACTCTATCCAAGAAAACAAGGCCTTCGATGATGCAGAAAGAAAGTAAGTTTATCCTACTGGCATTCAACTTCATGAAATTGATATGATTTTCTGTTTGGATAATAATATAGTAAAACCTTGCTTCCCATAAAAGAAAAAACGTTGTAGAATAGTCAGTTTGGCTCTCTCCATTTAGATTTAAGTGCTTTGTGAGCTGCAGCTGATAGTTTTTTCTTTGTTAGTCTGTTTTTTTTTTCCCTAGTTTCTTTGACATGTATTTTTCTTTTTGATCTAATTTTGTTTCAATATACAGGCCACAGACTGAATTTACTCCTCTGGAGGGCTTTCCTAACCATGCACAGAATACTAGTGATATCCCTGATGTTCAAGATGGTTATGGACTTATGATCTCGGAATTGCTGGGAAACGATTTCCCAAATTGTTCTTCAGTACCAGAGGATCTTAATTCAATGCATAACGAAATTGGCCTTCATAATGGAGAGGTACTGTCATTAATTCAATGCATAATGCCTGGTGGTTATTTGATCAGAAATGCATATAAATGGATTACTTGAATTTATACATCTATATGCATCATAATTGTTCCCATTTGGCTTATGTATTGTGATGGAAATGCATTGCTATAAGCATATGTCTCACACATTAAACAACTGATGTTTCTCCTTTTATTTGGCCGATTGTTTCAGGAGACTCTTGCCGACGATGATGCAATATATATGGCTCTTGGAGAAATACCATTAAGTATGCCACATTTTTAATACACTGGTTTGTTTTCTAATGAATCTCAAATGTCAAGTTCTGTCTGAGTGATGTTTGGATTATTGGTGTGGGTGTGGGTGTGTGTGTTAGAACATTTATATGGTAGTGTGCTTTTAGCTATTACATGCCTTGTACCGACTACCAGCAAGTTAGTGCACAAATTTCCATATATTTAATCAATTTTGACAGCTTTTGGTCATCCTAGAATGGGTGGAAGCAAAGGAAATGCTCAATAAGTACCCTAAGCTGTTCCTTTCAACTCATTGTATGTGTTTGAATATGTTGCACCAGACATGAATATGAGATGGGAATTGTAAATTAGTGATACTAGATGTAACTTGAACAAGTTTTGCTCCAAAAGAACCTAAATTAAAATGAGAAAAACTAGAATGAGTTGCTTGAGGTAACTAATAGTCTGTAATATATGTTTGCTTTTATACTCTTTCCTTCAGTTTTGCAACCTTCTGGACAAACACAGAATCCGATTGATTAAAGCACGAAACTTCTTGTCATAGGAAAACAATTTTGTCTACCATTATTTATCTGTAGATTTTCCCAAATCTGATAGGGGTGCAGGTGTAAGAATTAAACCTTGGTAAAGTTGTTTCAGTTCCATTTAAAATTCGTTGAAGAAACTCAAAAATATTACCCATGAGTTAGTTACATAAAACACATATAGATATTTAAATGTTAGGTTGCTAGTAGTAATTTAAAGGAAAATGGCTACTAGGTTTTTATCATTATAGTATAGCAACCATGTAGTAGAGTTCGAAATGAGGAAGCTATTACGCAAAATGACTGAAAGATAGGGGTTATTGATTAGTGTGAATATGACCTTTTTTGTCGGAGAAAAGTCCTGGGTTGCAGCAAATTTTGCAACAAGGATCTGAAGAAGTACTGATTTATGGGTTTTCGCTACCTTAAAAAATTAGGAAGCATAATTTTTGCAATTTGTTGTGTGATGCATTTACCTTTAATGGTATTTTTGGCTTTTCAACTTTATACTATTTCTCCAATCCTTTATTTTGCTTGTCTAACAATACTTCTTAAATTACTTATGCAGCCTTTTTGAGGCCCTGGGAGCAGCCAACCCCGCAGGAGTATGAGAAGCCCTTTTGATCCAGCCAATCATAAAATTTCTCAGATGTATAATTCGGTATGCTTAGTGTTGGTCATTGTGGTTTCTTTTGTCCTATCACTAGCTCTATTAAGTGGCAACCTTGCTTTGATTGATTGTTTTTTTCTTTTTTTCACTTATTAAGGGTACAAGTAAATCTCTTCCTCTTGTAGGATGTTTAAGGATGTTGAATAATTTTAATTCTCTGTTACACCTTGTTCTTACGTGAAACATGTTAATCATGTTGATCGGCAGTAGTGGTTGCCATCTGTTACTTGTCTGTTTTCGGTTTCTCAGTAACTTAACACATAGATCTTACACTTTGTTCATATTGATTGGCAGAAATGGTTGAACTCATTTGGTACCTTCTTTCCTCGCTGACTTAACATATACAAATGATGCTAAGGTTAGGTGTTACACACAGAGAGTAATAGTACATAGTAAATATTGAAGACAGATAATCCATGACATTGTGGTGATTGGAAGTCCGTTATATGACTACTGGGATCTTAACCGTTTCAACTCCCCGCATATTAGGGTTTTAGCCCAGATAAACTAGTTTGTTTGCAAATCTTCAAATCTTCATATTTTTCCTTTGTTCGAATGGATTCGTTGTCAAGATAATTTGTAAAAGGTTTGCACGACTTGTTTTGAGTTGTGATGGGAGAGTCTCTATTGTTGCATTGGTGTTTGATAACCCTATAAGAAAAAGTGTTCCTTGAACTTTCATTTCCTCTAGTTCTTTCAAGAACCCAAATTTCATTGTGTTTTCTAGAGAAGCTACAAGCCTGCTCAACTGAACATGCTGTCCTTGAGTGGACAGATTCCACAACTACTTTGGAGAAATATCTCATTCTGTCATCTTGATATGTGGCACATAGAGATATAGAGACTATCATGCCTTTATCTTATTTCTTACATTTCTTTTGGTTTTCAATTTGAAAATTTTGCTTTTTCAATAAAGAATTGGCCTTTGATTATAATAAAATCGAGAGGTGTGAGTTGCTTGAGAATGGATGAGAACTGCTATGATGAATAACTGATACTGCTTCCTCAAGTTCACATGCCTGAAAGTCCCTAGAAAGAGAGAGTTTATGAAATTCACATATAACGTTGCTGTTGGAGCTCAAAAATTTTGGTCCAGTCTGAAAAATTATATTCAATATTATTTTGGTTAGTCGGCCTGGACAAAAAATAATTAGAAAGATCCATCATTTGGCATATATAATAACTTTTCATGGCACTCTTTTCTCAGCTTCCATATCCCTGTAGTTGGTGTTTGATCCTTGGAGAAGGAGATTGGTTTCCTTCTTCCCAAACCAGCAACACGCATGGCATTGGCATTTGCATCGCAGTTTTCATTAGATAAAAGCAGAGTTGGAAAAACGTGCAAAATATCTCTCATTATTTTTGTTGGTGCATGCGGTTTGTCCAATAATTCCAATATTATTTAACCCAAAAATGAAAAACCAAATTGATACTTGGACTTGGTATTGGACTTATAAGATATAAAATAAAGGAAAATAATTCCCTTTCTCCCGTGTAAGTAGGAGCTTTACATTTCTGTCGATAGTTGTACTTGTGATAAATTATTTTTGCACATATATCAAATTGTGATTTTCAGAGAATGATGAATACAATTAACTTGATTATCTAACACAAGTTTCCTTTCTTGAACTGATATTTGTTTTTTCCTTTCTAGAATTGTAGATATTTTAATTTCTAATAGCCATGCAAACAAACAAAAAAACTGAAAATTCATAGTAAATTATGGTGTGGACAGCCATCATGTTGAAGGACATGAAATTCTGCTTGAGAGTCAAAATTTTGTACGGATGTATGGTACACAGTACTTGCTTCCGCAATTCACTGTTATGATCAGATGAGACGGTATGGTATGGTAGTAAAGCTATAGCTTCATTCATGCATGATGACGTAAAAGATTATGTAACTGTCAAAGCGTGTGCACAAGAGTAATAAATTTAGATCTCCAATTTGAATAAAGGCAGCCACTAAACAACCATCCATATATCTCTCCAAATTGAGAGAAAAAAACTTGTCCACGTCGGTCCTTATGAAAACTGTGTTTCACGCTTGGTATATCTTGTGAGAGCGTTACATGGGTCATATGTGAAACGCAAGTATGGGCAAGTTTTTCCTCCAAACGGGGGTGGTGTGGTCGAAATTCTTCGGTCCGGCAGATTGACCGGCGTCAAGGGACCTCTGCATTAGGGTTAGAGCAACTTGGCTTTGTGTAACATATTGTAGTAAATTAAGTTGTAAATTTGGAGAAGGATAAGATCATCTACATATAGAAGATGGCATAATTGCAGGTCCTTGTCAAGTTTCCAATGGCAGGCGTGGCTTGAACTATTTCTTGTCATGGAGGGGAAAAAAAAACTTGCATCATTACGTTAAAAGACCAGTTTTGATAATGACTTAATATTCTTCATTGTGTTTGTGTTTCCCACAATTTCCTCCACTACTTCAAAGGGGGAAATAAATAAATAAATAAATAATTATCTCTCCTTTTGATTAATTATTAGTTTGCTGACTTTTATTTTTGTTATTTTTAAGCTTTTCCACATGGACCATTTCACTCTCATTTCAAAAGCAGAGAAATAGAAGCTACCTTATACGACGCCGTTTGTACTTGCTGGCCCATGTCATGTGGGAGCTGGATCGGATGCGAGAAGGGGGTCCGAATCGTCCGACAGCCAGACAACGTCAAACAAAGTACACGTGGCCTATTCTATAACGTCAAAAAAATATAATCATACCCCGATGTGTTGCGGGACCCACTTGATTGGAATTAACACCGGACATCTAAACCGTTCCATCGCTTTCCATTTTCATTCTAATTTTCTTGATTTTACTGCCTAATCACCTTTTCTCTTCTAATCAATTTCAATTTACTCCAGTGAAACAGTAAATATGTAAAACTCTCTCCAATCGGTAACTAGAATTGTTAATCTTCATACCCACCAAATTGTAAGAAAGAGCTTTTTTTTTTGGGTCACCACTCATCATTTGTAGTGATGTTAATTCTCGTTAGATGAGTATGATTGAACCTACTTTCTGTACGAATTTAAAAGTTAAACTTATTCAATAACAATTCACCCGGTGGTTATGCTCATCACCATTTAAAAATAGCAATAGTAAAATTGTTCTCCATGAATAAACAATAATTGATATGAACAATTCTACTTTATATATAGTTCCACTCACGTAACCATCTATTTTTAGGAGCATATATTCTCTAACAAATCATTATATTAGTAACGCTCACTCGCTATTTGTAACTATTTATCTTGTCTAATCGTCTAACATGCTATATTATTAGATTGTACATAAAAAAAACTAACAAGTTAAAAGATCACCATATTTAAACACCTATACTACTCCTTACACAACATATTACTCAAGAAATTAATACGATGAAAAAAAAATAAAAAAATGGATGTGTTCTAGGCAGGCCTATTATTTGAAATAGGTGTGTAATGTTTTTCTTGTAACGCTACAGGCTTATATACAATGGAGCACCTTTGCCGACATCAACCCAAAATGGGATTATGGGGCCGCCTAACCTAGCTGTGATACATTGGCAGAGAAAATATAAACCAAATTTGGTTATTGCCGACAACAAATGCCGACCTAGCTTAGCTCAAACTTATACTATATATATGTAATGTAACAAATGTACCGAGTTTTTAGGTACAAAAATATGATAGCGCCTTCAATTATATACGACAACAAATCTACAGTGACTCGGTGTGAAAAAATTTAAAGGCCTTTTACAACTTTTTCCATTCACTGTCAACCTAGATTTGAGATTTTTTTTTTTTTTTTTGGGGTCAAAACCTAGATTTGAGAATTGAACATGGGTTTTAAGGTTTTGTCCAATCTTGAACAGAGTAAGTTCAAGCCAAGAGCCAATCAAAGATGAATTGAAATTTTTGCCCAACCGGTGAGTTTTCGAGAGTGAGAAAGGGAGACTTTTGATCTTGCTATGTTCAAGGATTATGAAAGTTATTAAGATGTCAGAGACACACATCAATGACCCATTACTAATATTGTTTTAATACTAACGCCACTATAATCGGGTATGTGTAATGTCTCAATTCTATTAGTCTGTGAAATTACTAATTATTATAGCCGTCATAAAAAGGTAACCACTTATTATATGTTGTATTTGATAAGTTTCTGACGTAAGACTTTATATATTGTTTGTCAAAAGAAAAGAATTTTAGTGAGGATGTGTAGAAAAAGTTTAATAGAACCTTTTTTTTCTTTTGAATTAAAATTAGAAGAAAAAAGCAAACCCCTTGCAAAGAAAATGCTTTCACCATCTAACCTAATATTTGGCCCAACCTTAAAAACCACATAGCTAGACTTTATGAAAAACTCACCGAATGGATCTACTCAGAAAAGCTTGCCTCTTACCCCTTACACAGATCACTATGGATTATTGTCTAATATAATTGTCCTTTTCTACCAATTGCTTTCCCTATTGAGAAAAAGCCTTCCAGCACTTGGGTAGCAGGAGCTAGCTAGCTAGCCATAGCTGTATGGATGGTCTAATTATCTGTTTTCAAGCCAGCAAGATTACTCTATTTTCACAAAGTCTGGGTGAAATCAATCACCGAGTATTGAAAATAACGTAATAATTAAATGAATTGGTCTTTATAATTTTGGTCCTAGTTGCAATCTTGGCAATCTTCCACCTAACTTGATGCAAATGGTCGATTTTCCTGTGTTCATATGAACCTGAAAATGGTTCTTGTTCTTGACTCTAAGGAAGCCATGATGCCAGGTTCCATCCCCTCTCTCACTGGAAGGAAACGACCACTGTCTCTTCAAATCCATCCCTAACCATGTCACTTTCGTCAATCGTCATGTCTTCTCAATAACGGCACGAAACTAACTCACATTCAAAAGCAATGTGACCGTATCCTCGACATTCATAACACTTTACAACTTCCTTGAAACTTCAAGCTTTCGTCTTAAACTGTTTAACAAAGAAAAATAACTCATCTTCATTGATGGGTTGTTATCATGCGCAACTTCACCATATTTTACAATTTTAAAAACTACACGCTTGGTCTTTTATCTATTTCATAGGTTTTCAGAAATCCTATTAGCTCTTCAAGTTTCAAAGTATTCAAATATTTAACTTCTTGAATTGCAATTAACCAACTTTGACTAAGGAATACTTTCACCTAGGGTAAACGATGCATTAGCAATCTCACTAAACCTACCAATAAAGTCAGAAAATGTTTCCTCTACACATATATAAATCTTAGGGACTCCACCCCATTTAGTGGAAATT